TGTAGCTTTTATAATTTTTACATAAGCTTAAAAATTCTTTAAAGTAAAGTTTATACTAAAGTTATGCATAATATAGTTTAAAAGTTTTTAATAAGTGTTAATTTAGCATTTGCATAATACATCCTAAGTATCTTATATAGACATAGATTTTAGAAATAAGGCCTAGTTATATAATTAGTAGAAGTAGTAAAACTTCTTAATCTTTTCTAGCACTACAGCATTAATATTATAGCTAGCGCTAGTTAGCATCTTCTAGAGTCTTTTTATGCAGAGGTGTCTAAATTAGCAGTAGAGGTAGTAGAGTTTTAATTTAGTAAAAAAAAACATAAATTTTTTTTTACTAATATTAAAAAAAGTGTCTTTATTTTTATATAATAAGTATAGTAGTTTTATCTTTACATATAATAATATTTAAAACATTATTAAAGTATGCCTTAAGTTAATTAGCATTTACTAGTAATAGTAAAAATAGTGTTAAAGTTTTTAAAATATAGTATGTAACTAGACTAATTAGGTTCTAGATTTATATAGTACTAATTAATTTCTTTAGTGTCTAGCTTTTAAAGCTAATATTTATTTAGCTAAGTGTTTAATTAATTTTTATATATAAGTTCTTTTATATATACACCTTAAGTTAAAACTTATTAATAGTAGAGATTTTTACTACACTTATGTTTTATAGTTTGCTTTAGTATACTATATAGTATTAGTTATTAAGGATAAACTACTTAGCATATTTCTTAGGTTTAATGCTATAGATGTCCTCTTCTGTTACACAGTATAAATAGGTAGTAAAGGTAAAGTAGTTAATAGCTTTTTTAGCATTCTTACTTTTTTATTTTATTTTTTTTATATTATGTAAATTATTTTTTTTCTTAGAGTAACTTTTAAAGTTTTAGATATATAAAGTAATAGCTTTACATAATAAAGTTTTATTATAAAAATCTTTATATAAAGTAACATACTAGTTCTTTACTTATGTACAGTTATTATAAAAGTAGTTTAATAACTAATATTTTTTTTATAGTAGACAAAGCACTTCTTTATTTATGTGTAGTTGTCTTTAGATTATAGCCTAAACTTAGATAAAGATCTTCTATATTATTCTTTTTTATTATATAAACTCTTATTATGCAGAGTTATATTAGCAGTTTATGTAGTATACATTAAGTAGTTTTTAGAGGTATTAGTTTACTTTTTAGTTTATAGTAACTTAAAGTAATGCTTATAAGTTACTAAATAAAGCTTTATATAAAAGCTTAATAGTAAACATAGCATGTTTTAGTTCTAGTTATTCTTAATAGGCTTATATAATAGTAGTGTGCAGTAAAACATCTTCTTAGAATTTTATTTTTAGTGCTTTTTATATAAGTGTAAGCTTATTAATTATTGCTTTAAAAACTTTATATAAACTCTTATTAAAGTTTTTTTATTAGTATTATATAAAAGTTATTATTATCTAGTTTATCTAGTACTAGCTATAGTTTATATTAGTGTTAAAGTAACTACTTAAAGTGTTATATAAATGCTTCTAGTTATATCTAAAGCCTATGTTATATATATAGTACATATTTACCTAACCTTTTAGGATATCTAGAAAGATGTTTGTGTACTAAGTTTTTTAAATATTTAGCTATTAACATAAATTAATAAAGATTTTTATTTTATTTATAAAAATGTTATATAGTTAACTTATATAGTTATTATTTTTTTTTATACTTTTTAAAATTATATAATTTTATTTACTAAAAGTTTTTCTTTAGTAGTTTCTTTTTAAAGTAGAAGTTTGTACAGGCTGTAATGTAGTATAGATTATGCAGGTGGTATTAGTAGTGCATACACTACTGCAGGCGGTGGTGTGTACAATTAAGGGTGTGGAGCAGGCGTTAGGTAGGGTGGCATGTATTGTTTGTACAGTAATTAGTGTAGTGCTAGCTAAGGTGTAGAAGCAGGTAATGCTAGTATATTTAGTGTTAATAGCAGCATTATGTTTAGTCTACTTCTATGCAAAGCCTTATATAGTAATAAAGGTTATGTATAAAGCTTTTTTAGTGTAATTACTTTTTTTTATACTATATTATACAGCTTCTAGGCTTAGGTACCTTTATTACCTAGCTATAGTGTAATTTTTTTATTTTTTAGCACTTATATAAGCTTCTTTTTAAATATATAGCTAAGTGCTAAAAAGTTTTATAGTGTTTATTTTTTAAAATTCTTTATATATAAACTTAAAAAAGTAGCGCCTTTTTAAGTTATTATGCATAAATTAGTAATTATATAACTTACATATAATTAAGTTTATAAGCTTATTAAAGCTTTTAATATGTTAATTTTATTATTTTAGTACTTTAGGCTAGTTTTATTTTATAGTGTTACTTTTAATATTCTTATATTTTTTATAAGTTATTTATATAATAAGAATTATTTCTTATTCTTTTTATTATTACATAGAGTTATTAGTTGCTAATAAGATTTTATTATAATAGTATAGTTAATTACTTTTTTAGTAAATTATATAAGTACTGCTGTTATCTAGCTACTAAGTTATGCAGCTTTAATAGCTTTAGTGTGCGCCTTACACTATCTTCTTTTTACTTTATATAGTAGTAGAGCTTACTATATAATGTAAAGAATTAATTTACTATTCTAAAAAATAAGTAACTAAATAAAGTACTTTATAAAGTGTAAGTGCTTTATTATTACTTTTTTTAAAAGATAAGTAACAAAATAAAGTGCTTTATAAAGCATAAAGTTAATTACTTATATAGTAGATTACATAGGTACTGCTGTTGTCTAGCTGCTAGGTTGTGCAGCTTTAATAGCTTTTAGTATACATTTTATACTATCTTCTTCTTACTTTGTACAGTAGCAGAGCTTACTATATAATGTAAAGAATTAATCTACTATTTTAAAAAATAAGTAACTAAACAAAGTACCTTATAAAGTGTAAGTGCTTTATTATTACTTTTTCTAAAAAATAAGTAACAAAACAAAGTACTTTATAAAGTATAAGTACTTTATTATTACTTTTACTAATTTATAGTTAATTAAATTAACTACTAATTAGTGTTAAATAGGCTTTAATAGCTAGCTGCTTATAGTATAAGCACTTAAGTAGCAAAAGTAAGAGTAGTATACAGTGTGCATAGTGTATAAGGTAAGTAAAGTAAAAGTAATATATTTCTAGTTCTATTACTCTTATCTTTCCTTTATATAGAGGAAAAGGGGGATATCTAGATGTTTGTGCACAGAGGTTCGCGCACAAGCATCATGTAACATAGATACGTGATCCTGCTTGTGCGCGATCGCTTGTATCCAGGCCGCGACGCTGCTGCTGCGTACGGACACTTATAAAAATAAAAATTTAAAAGTATATAAATAGTTTACTAACTTTTATAGTTAAAGTGTTTAAAAAGGTTTTAAAAAAAGTAGTAATAATTACACATAAGCTAGTATTAGTGTAATAAAAAATTACTAAGCTTTAAGCAGCTAATAAAGCTGCTACATAATATAAATTATATAAAAAAAAGTAAATTAAAGTAAAAAAAACCTTAATAATTAAAAAAAGCTTACACTTAATAGCTTTAAAAGAGTTTAAAGCGCGCAGTAATAAAAAGAAGGTAAAGAAGTAAGTATAAGCTAAAATAAGTAAGCTATCTTAAAGGCGCTGTAGATAGTGCAATTAGACTAGGCATAACACATAAATGTGTAAGTAAGAAGTAAAAGTAGTATCTAAATAATATTCTAGGCTATACTGTACTATATAGTGCTAGAGCAGGTTGTTATAGGCTATAATAGAGTTTGTTAGGGTGGGGTCTTAGCAAAAGTGAGCAACTTAGGTGTGTGAGCAACTCGCCTGTGAAGTACGTTATTAGATTATTCTTTACATATTATTAAAGCTTCTAGCTTAAAAGAATACTTTAAGTAGTTAGCAACTACTTTTTTTTAATATGTTTATAGCTATATTACTTATTTCTTGCTGCTCTTTTAGGCAAATAGAGCACGTTACAGTGGCTTGCTTAGGGTATGGGCTTTATAAAAGAGATTAACTAAATAACCTATAGTTAATTAACATAACTAACTAATTACTAAACTTACTAACAAGCGTAGGCTAACAAAGAGTTTCTTAGTTGGCAAGGTAAAAGTGTGGCGGGACTACCTGTAGACACAATCACAAATCAAACTAAGCAGCTCGCACCATAAATTCCGATATTATCCCATTTCCTAACATAACCTATCCTATCCTATGCTATCTCAAGTTACCATTCCATCCTGTAATCCCCAAGAAATCTACAACTACTAACGTCAACAGCAATATCATTATAACATACTCAGCCACTCATCTGATCTGCCACCCAGCTGATCCAATCCACCCAGACAGCTCAATAAGATTCGTTATAGTATCTGTTCTCTTCTTATTCCAGCTAGCATACACAATTCCTCTCCCCGGCCCCATCTACCATTTATCATCCTCACCCCTCATCCTCTCTTCTATCATCTCACCTCAACAATCCTATGATATCCTTCTTCCAAAGGGAAATGTCGGCCGTAATTCATCCTACCGAACCCAAAACCATCCATCCAGACTAAGAAAATCTACAAAGTCGTCATGGGAGAGAAGTATTCATGAAAAGGTATATGATATGTATGAAAGAAGAATGCCAATTTGATTTGCACGCCTTATCCTAACCTTCGCCTAGTATCTGTATCAAGTGCAAGATTGTACGATAGAAACGAAGACTAATATTGCAGTTGTGGGGATATGAAGTGAAGGTTAGGTGTGTGGTGGTGATGGAAGTATAACAACGGGTTTGTGGGAATAATGCGGCGAAGAGCAGAACAGAAAAAAGCAACTCCTCGCTATGCAAGCAAGCAAGTAGGTAGGCAGATAGGCCGTTATCCATAAGCGGGGTAATAATGCGTGCAAGTAGCACACAGTAGTTCAAAACAGGGAGAGGAAAGGCAAAGCACTAGCTAAATAAAGGCAAGGATAAAATGTAGATGAATGTAGGTGGGAAAGGGGCTTGGGGTATATCATTGCTGAAAAGGGATAGGAAAATGATAGTAAATCGTCACGATCGTGTATGACGACAAGCTTAAGAAATCCGGTCAAGCTCATCTCTAGCTCTAAGATATTTCGTTGCAAGCTGATCGCCGCCACGCTTGCTCTGCTCCATCCAATGCTGTGCCACACACATGGTCATGGGATCGCTTCGCGCAGTATCGCCCGAGGCCTTTCTGTCGCGGTTCAAGAGTTCGGTCTTGAAGACATCGCGAGGCTTTGTGAGAGGGAGAATAGCGCGTTGTAGTAGCTCCGGGGAGGTGAGGTAAAAGATGGCGAGCTCACGTTCGGCAACCGCATCACCCTCTCTGGCGGTGATGAGAAGCATCCGAGCAGCGTCTTCCATCGTGTAGCGGGAAGACGGCTCGTCGATTGATGGTGCGCTGCTAGATACTGACGCTGTGCCTGGCTGTTGGGATGCACTTCCGTTCTGCTGCTGGATGATTGGGTCCCTCTTGGAGTTCTGTGCGACAATGTCGTCGACAATTTCCACCATGATACGGCAGACATCTTGCTTCAAGCCTAAGGCGGCAAGGCCAACATCCCAAAATGCCTTCCCACGAGCTGTCTTGTCGAGCATCTGCGCCGGAACGAAAGACGCAATGAACTGCAAGTCTCGGAAGAGAGTCTTTGGTCGAATATCAGGATCGCGGAAAAGGCCTTGAAGGACTTCCACAATCATGTCCGTGCTTGGAGGGCCGACAGGTGAGCGTGTCCCGCTACGGTGGGGCAATGGAGAAGCTGTCCCAGCACCGTGGAGGTTTGTCATGCTATGTGAACGGCGCTCTTCACAATTCGCAATGGCTTCTTCGAGATTCTGGGCACGAGATACTTGGGCTGCAGGTTGACGTGAGCTTAGCTCCGGCATGGCGCCCAGTGTTGGTGATTGAGGAACGGCCGGTAGAGTATCTCGACGGTTGTTATAAGACCGGCCGGAGCGTGAACTTAAAGAGGCGATTATAAGAAGTTCAAGCTCATACAGAGCATGAAGTTTAGAGAATGGATTAGGATGTGTAGCAAACTTGTTCAAAAGGCGGCGGAAGGCGACATTGTATGGGAATTCCAGCAATCCGGCCTTCTTGGCAGCAGCCATACCCGTAGATCGCGAAGTAGCGTCACTCGAGGTTGAGTGCTCGCTGGCAGAGTGATGGGGATCAGATGCTGCAGCGTGTTGGAGTGTTGCAACGGGTGGGGCTGCTTGGCTCCTCTCATTGCGTCCAAGAGTCTCAAGCGGGCCGTTGCGGGTGTCAGACCGGGTGGCATTGCGAATGTTCTTCATGCTCTTCTTACGAGCTAGTTGTCTCTTTCGACGACGTTCTTCCTCTTCTTTACGGTGGAGACAATCTTCACCGAGATCGCCAGAGAACCAAGCATCGGTCTCGCTTCCATGACCGAAGACCATGGTCCCGAGGTCACTCAAAAGCAATCCCGTCAATGTTTGTTTCAGATCTAGCAAGAATCGTCGTTTGTCTTCGTTGACACTCGCTGATTGCTTCAGCATAACAGTGCCCTTCGAGGACGAGGCAGTTCGTGGGCGAATGCTGGTTGCGCTGGTTGGAGATTGTGCTTGAGTCTGGAAAGGAGACCAGAATGTGGCCGTTGAGTCGATTGTGAGGACAGGACTGTGGCCTCCAAAATAATCTTGAGAATCCATGAGATTCCGACCCCAGGGACTTGAGTCGAAGCTTTGCTGTGAACCATTGCGATTTGAAATGGATCGCAAGCTACTCTGACTGGGACGTTGGGCGAAATCAAGGCTGCGAGAGACGGGCCGACCTTGCGTTTCGTATTCTTCATCGCCAGCAATGGAGAGAGTTCCAACGCCAGTGAGGAATAGATCACCTTTCTGGCGCCCGCTGTCGAGAACTTCCTTGTCACGTCGATAGAGCTCGCTGGACCAAAGCACCGGGCCATCCATCATACCATCACCAACAAGCTTGTTCACACACTTGTCGACCTCAAGGCAGAAACGGTGGATTCGTTCCTCGCCCTTACAGAAGTTCTCGACGCTGTATTGGTTGAGCCATTTTAGCGTTATATCGGACTGCTCGTCCGAAAGCTTGTTGGGCCCACCAAAGTCTTGGGGAGCAGCCATGATATCGACAACTTGGGCTTCTGTCTTCAGCAAGAAATTGTTGGTGGAAGATTTGGAAAAATTCCGTGGTCGGTTTGTCTGGATCGGTTTGCCGTCCAGAGTCCTTGTGGGTTGTCCCATGATCTTTAAGGCAATTGCAACATTCTTAGCTTCCTCGTAGCCTGCAGAGTTCCGAACATCTGTAATGTACCACATCTTGTCTCGCAAATTCTTTAGTGCCATCATCATCTCTTCAATGGCGGCATCGTGACGCTCCTGTGACTGTTTAAGCCAAACAAACCAGGCCTCAAATTCTTCAATGGCGGATGCAGACTTCCCAAGAGAGTCCCGAGGCCCTCGACAGAAGTAATTTAACAGTGCAGCATAGCCATTCTTTATTAACGAGGGGGAAGTTAATTTCCGGAGGGTCTGCAGAGTCTTGTAGTAGAGGTGGGCGTTAACAAAGTCAGAGCGGGCCTGGCACTGGTACATTGCAGCCTCCAGCATGGTTACAAGCACGGAGGTCTTGTCCTGACTCTCTACTGGCTGCGGGTTGCTGCTACTCCTTGGTTGCTGCGGAGAGCGATGGCGGGCTTGTATATTCCGTTGGCTTGCAATAAGGTTTGTCAGCTGGCTCTGGCTTTGGCTATTGTATGGGTTCCTGGATCCCAGAGAATCACCATCTCTCCTAGCTGCACGTCCTCCTCTAGAGTCTCGGCGATGGGTTGAAGTTCGATTGCTGAAATTCTTCGACTCGCTTTCCGGTGCAAGTTCCTTTGGGATCTCATACTCTTCGACGAGTTTAGCAATTGCCTCTTTCAGCTGATGGTAGTCGCTCTCAAGGTCAAGCCGGTCTGACGCCCCTTCGTCATCACTGCTGTCACTCTCGGGTGAATCGTCATCATGTTCATCCTCATCGTCCGCATCTTTTCGCATTCGGGGTTTGAGGTGCTTGCCATCAGGTGAAATATAAAGGACAGCCCATCTCTCAGCACAAGGGTGACATGAGCCGGAGCAGGCATCCATGCCCAGGATTCGGGACATTTCAGAACATGCCATTCTAAGACGCCTTCCGTAGTCCTCTGTGGGTGCGATTTTGGCCTTCTCAATGTAATTTTCCTCAGGGGGCAATGTGTGGCGATCGATCGGCTGGCCGGAAGAGTCCAATAATGGCTCCCTAGATGTGGTGTCACTGGTCATTGAAGAGGCGCTTTGACTGAGAATTGAGCTCGCATCACCAGCGGAGATAGAACTAGGTCGGAAAGGCATCGAGATCCCTGAAATCGACGAGGCAGATGAAGTAAGACCAGTCCGGCTACGGAGGTCTTTTTCAAAGTGGCTAGACGGCGGACGGCGTTCTGGAAAGAGGGTGTTGACCAGAGTGATGATGTCAGATGGACAGACTACAATGAAAGGTTGGACCTCTACGGTTTCCCGTGGTGAAGTAATGGCCTTTGCGGGAAGAAGAACGGGCTTAGAATTGGACTTAGAATGCTTGAACCTAGCCAAGATATTGTCAATGTGGACCCGAATCTCTGGGAGAATGGGAACTCCTTGTTTCCTAATTAAAACATTAGCTAACGAAAGGTACGGAAATCCAAAAGGAGTATCGTACCAATTGTACGTCATGTCTAAAACATGCTTCTGGGCGCGGATGGCAATCTCCTTGAGAATTTTCTGGCGGGCATGTTCACTGATGTGGTGGCCAATCATGATTCCGTGGCTCTGTCTGGATATTAGCATTATCCTCCAAATATGTAGGAAGAGACATACCTCGGGATGAATGATAGCGTTCAGTAGGTAAGTAGAGAAAAGCCAGCGAGACACGATGAAAGTTCGGGTTCCAGCACGGCGACCACCAGACTCCTCCATCTTTCGAAGAATGGCATTGCCAATTTCTAGGACACCTTCAGGGATACCACCAGCGCTAGGCTCGTCATCAACAACCTCAAACAAACGTTTCACGGCCTTGTCATAGAAATCATCGGCTGCAATAGTGTCCTTAGTACTTCGAGCCACTGGTTGCGACGCTGGCCGTGCGGATTGCTCCTCGGCCTTCTCTAACAGGAACTGGCCGTCCTGAAGAACCTGCATGAGGTAAAGTTCCAAGTTGGCTTTTCCAGGCCATTCTCTCATACCAGCAAAAGCATCCAGAACATGAATGATGAACTTGTCACATCCTGGCTTTCCTGCGGTGATGAGCTTTGCACAAGTGGTAGCCCAGGCGTCTGTCCGGCGGAGGTCCTCGGCAGAGTCCGGCCCGGAAGAATTAGCGAAGATGGTGTAGATGAGAGCAGCCAGGGGGTCATGTCTTTGGAACGACAACAGGCGCTCAATTGGAGTGGGACCTTGCGGCTGATTGGGCTTGTGACTTGAACCAACGGCTTTACCCCGAGCTTGCATGGCCATAACAGAATCTATGGGATCTAGAGACTGACGAAATGTGGTCAAGGAAGCCAGCTCTTGCTGAGACAAATTGAGAATCCGAGTAGCAAGGAAATCTGGATTGGTGCGGATTTCGGAAATGAAATCGAGCAGGTCATCCAGGATTTTGGAAGGAACCTCATTCATGAACGTGGAAAAAGACTGAGACTTTTCGTTCCTCATGCTTTTTGACTTCCCCAACTCCAAATCAGGCTCCAGCAATGCATATCGGCGAGTGGCATCGCACGAGTTCCGAACGTCGTGAAGAGCATGAAACAGGGTAGCAAAACTTTTTTTGTCATCTGACCTAAAGCTGTCAACCAAAGTACGGTGAGCGAGCTCTCCGCAATGTACCAGACGTGCGGAAAGAGCGCTCGAGACGAGCCATCTGTGCAGGCGGACCCGGGAATGGGCCTTGCGCTGCTCCTGATAGCCCTGCAGACGGATCAAGTGGGCGAGCTCGGCTAGCGACGTGGATGAGGTCGGGATGGCCGCTGTAGGGAGGTACGCGTCGGTGTAGTGCGAGAGGTCGGCGGGGAGCAGGCGGGGAAGGCGCCCCGCTGGAGCAGACATCGAGGAAGGAATGACGGGCCTCTGGACGGCAGTCGCGGTGGCGGACGGTCTCTCATTGTTGTCGTGGGCTCCGCCAGGTCGACTTCCCATCATTGACTGAGCAGGCTTGGAGGGGGGAGGTGAAGGCGACCTGGGCGGACTCTGAGAGCGGAGCGGGACCTCGTGCGAAGGGTCATGGACATCAGTCGAGTGCGAGGGGGTATGGCTTCTAGAAGAAACGTGGGTGATAGTCGGTGACACGGCTAGCGCGACGGTCAGTGAGGGCCTGCCAGCTCATCGTACAGAGCGCATTGATCCGAGCCTCGACTATTGGGCGGGGGAGGGGACTGTGGAAGGGACTGAGGATACAGTGTGTAGACCACATACGCGGAGTAGAGTAAACCTGCGCCGACGGCGAGGCGGAGTGCTGGGTTCTTCTAATCATCCTGTCGCCATCAGGAGTGCCCGATGAGAGCCGTTTGGCGTCGCCCACACAGTCCAGGGAGCTGTGAGGGCCTACCACAGCATGACTGCTGCCAGATGGGGGCCAGGGAATGGCGGAAACGGAGTCTTGAGGAGGCAGAGCGACGTGTGCGCTGGCAGCAGACGTTGGCTCTCCCAGACGCTGCTCCAGTTCCAGCACGGGATGCGTGTTTCGTTATCGATACAAGGCGGTCCGGGCAAGCGAGGCGGGAGGCGCGGGCGGCTCGAGTACCTATCCCCAGCAACCAGCAAGTCACGATTCTCCTCAGGCGAATCGACAGATGCCCGATGGACTAGATGGACAGACAGAGAGAGGGCGTGCTGGGTGCGATGGCAGCGACAGCATCCACGCAAATATGTTCCTGCTCGAGATTGGTGGCAACAGCAGACCGCCTGCCCTCTCCCACGAAAGCTGCGTCCCAGTCGATGACTTGCAGGCCAGCACATCCACTGCGAACTGGAGCGCGAATCAGGGTCGCGTATCGCCCTGCCACAGCGTGTTCCTCGCCAGAACGACGCCGCATTCGTCCAGTTGCATCTCCACTGTGCAGGACGCTCACCGTCGCCTCAGCTGGCAAGACGCGGTCGACACGCTCGACAAGCACGGTTTTTACCAGTCATCCCCGCGGCGAGCCGCTGACAACGCACTCGTCGTGACTCTTCGATCAGCGCGCCGTTTCATTCTCAGATCGCGGCGACTTCGTTCCCGCCTGTGGCTCGCAGGGTCTGGCGGCCCATTCTGCGGCCACCCTCCCCTCGAGCCTGGACGACCTCTTCGAGACTGCAACACCACAGCACCAGTGCTGAGCATCCTGATTCCATCGCAGTCGTCCGCAACCAGTCGGCTAAGCAGCCCCGTCCAAGTTTCTTGACGTGACGAGCGGCCAGTGGTTCAGATTGAGATCGCCCCTGCACGGTGCGTGATGTGTTGGCACTCCAAGAGCATCGCGCATATGCAGACGACGCTGTCAAAAAAAGTCCTGCACGCCAAAATACCGCGTCCCACTCGCACAGAGAGGTCCGGTGGAGAACCACTGTTTCCCACTTCATCTCAACCTGCAGCGCTAGATTGAAGTTAAAATTGAGCTCACCACTGCCTGTGCCGTGATCCCATCTGAAGCCAATGAAGCTCGCAGCGGCCATTCGCGAGCCTTTCCCTCCAAAGCTTTTCATGCTTCGGTCTAACATGCCCCCGGGTAGCATCGCCTCTGCAAACACAGATTCGAAGCGTGCAGCCATACCACTGCTTCCTACTGGTGAGAGACTCTCGACACGCATTTCGTATTACGAAACTCAAAGTATCTAATCTGAAGACGGTACTCCGTATAGTGTATTGTGGTTCATTGTACTATACTCCTTGTACTACGCGAGTATGCGGCTGCTTTTCTCTTCCTCTCCCTGGGTCTTTTTTTTCGGGACGATTTTAGATGGGGACCGGGATGCCATCGGACCCTGAAAGCTTCCCAGACGGTGTCCCTGACCCATCGGTGCCATCACCATGTGCCGAGCTCGTCAGTCCCCACCCCGCTCCACCAGTTCCGGGGGTCGCGCATGGCATTTCGGTTTGGGCATCGAGACATGCCCCTAAATATCTCAGATTTGGGCTGACGCTCACGTTGCCCAACCGCCGTTATGCGCCTAGCATGTTGCGAAACGAGCAACGAGGTCTTTGATCTCCGCTAAAACCAGGCTTCGCCCTCGAACGTGACACTTCGTCGAAACTGCTAAGATCAACCTCGCTCGTAGATGCTGAGAGGAGACAGCGCGTGGCGCGCGCTCCGTCCGGTTAGCCTTATATCTTAGGTCATTCTACTTGTTGCATGGCTTCCCTGAGCAAAGGAGCGACACGTTTCCTGCTGTGCTGTACTTTTCTTTGCCACCAGACCTTTCTCCAGTGCCCATCACTACTATTCTCATGAGCATTGCCGTCTGAGTCGCACCACTCCTCAAGTCCCAGTTCTTCGTTGGCATCAGCGGCAAATTTCTTCGCTGCTGAGATGGCGTCATCATTGAAAGCCCAAACCAGGAGCTCCCGCTGAAACTGGCCTTCCGGAGATGTTGAGGTGGTCATGACAGCATACAGGTCAAGGTCCTGGTCCTTGCAAAACTTTTGTAGCGCTTCAAGGTGAGCTGGTTCGAAGGGTTGGGTATTTGCTTCCTCGCATGCTTTTTTTTGTATGAATTCAATAGGCTTCACCACTGAACTGATACCGAGCTTTTGATTCCCTTCGTTCCACTGCTTGAAGTCTTTTCTTAGTATATCATGCAGCTTTAACTTTGCAATGTCCTTTTTCGCAGAATCAATACGTTTATAGAACAAGCTGCGGTCAAACTCGGCTGAAAGCTGAGGACAAGATATGATCTTAGCTTCCAGATATTCGACTGCTCGGATGTCGTGTTCGGTTGTCTTGTCTTCGGATTCGAGGTTTGCTGTATCAATGAGAATGCTGGCAAGTCCTAATTGGGCAATCTGTGCATCCCAAAATTTGACAACAGCAACATCATCTGACAAGCCGTGTCCTTGTCCGTGAGCAGCGCCCGACGAAGTCCCGGAACCCGAGAGCAAGTCCCAGACCTCCCGACAATATTCAGTGACAAGGCTAGTGCAGCTGCCAGACTTAGTGATTACGCGAGGCTCACAACCCGTATCTTCTGGTACTTTGGATTCATCTTCGTGATGGTCAATCACCCCTTCCACGCGAGCGGAGTAAATTTGGCCCAGTTGGCCTTGGAGGGCATTGTGATCAACCAATATCCATCTTGTGTTCTCGGGACGAAGCTTCGACTGTATGACAGACAGGTCAGGAAGGTCATCAAGTGTTATCAGATGGCTTGGTTCGATATTGGCGTATGTAAACAGCGCTAGAAACTCGGGACGAAGCCGAAGGCCTGAGGAAGGTATGTTTGTCACAGGAATGTAGAGCTGTGTGAAGGCATTGTGTGGCGGCGCCATAGAACGAAGGTATGCATACAAGACCGAAGAAGTCATGGAATCGAGATCTGTGGCAACTGTCAGCTATAAAATTCTCTTTTCCGGGTGGAGCGCCTCTACCAGCTGATTCGTTCCCAATTACGAGGGTAACTCTCTGGCTCGAATCAATTGAGCTCCGGAGAGCGCCTTTGGCGTAGGCAAGAAAGCCACGAAGGGAATGCCTCGGAATAGCCATAATGGCGGTAGCTTTACCACTAGAGTTTCAAGCAGTGAAGCCTGCACTGGTTGTTTGGGTGTTCGTCCGAGAAATCGAAGCACCTATTTGGACAAAGTGACGTAGGAGATACGGTCCGAGCTTTAGCCGGATCTATGGTCTGTGCACGGTTCAAATTAAAGGCAGGGTGTGAAGTGATGAAGGAAGTGTTCAGATAGAGCTGTTTTCTGTGACGGTACCTGTGTCTCTCAAACAAGCTGTGCGGACTGCGTTTCTAGTAGGTTCCGTCTAACCCATCCCCGATTCACAGAGTCAAAAAGATTTCTTAAGCCCTCTGATAATTGGGTGAATCTGCTAGCAAGTAATACAGGGTCTCCAGTCTCCTCATCACACTAGTAGAGGAGATTAGGCTAGACATATCATGTTTTCTTTGGTGCCCATGGTATAAGGTTGCTTGCTTGTCGGGAAAAATCCACGTCACGTAAGTTCCACGCCGCCAGCAGGTACGCCTCGAGTGCTCCGCAACCTTCTAGCAAAAAACTGCATAATGGGAAGCATTTCCTCGCGGTTTCTTGGCATCTTATCCCCATACTCATTCCACTGTTGGAGCTGCAAAAACTCAAAGGCATCCTTAAGCCTTGTAATGGCACTATCAGAGACTGCAGAGCCGCGTGATCCCTTACAAACCAACACAGGGGTCTTGCTCTTCCGCTCCAAGGCTTTCAGAGGCAGCGATAGTGGCAGCACACCTCCAATGCTGATAACACCGCCAAGTTCGTCTCCTTCAAGTTCAGCGGCAGCTTGTAATCCAGCCATGGCACCTTGACCGTATCCGAAGACTATTATCTCGCGCGCCTTGTAGCCACATTGCCCAATGAGGCCTTCACAGATTACGCTATCCAGTATGAGGCGAGTAGAGACCTTGAAGCCCACATCTCCATCTAGTTTATGGGTATTTTGGTCGATGACGAGGTCATCGCTCCAATTGAAGCCACTGAGGAAGAAAGGGAGAGGGTTTGGAGCTTGCACAGATATACACACAGTTTCGGGCAGGGAAAGTTGTTGACCAAGCTTCGTGAATGGTTCGTTGGTATCTCCGAGACCGTGAAGGAGGACGAGGACGTTCGTGGGAGGTTGTGACGACGGTGCTGAGCACATCAGGATATGACTCGGAGCTTTGTCGGCTAGAGATTTGTTACTTACGAGGAGTAATGCTTAGTTCAAGTGAAGATGGAAAGTCACTCTTCATGGGAAGTCGACCCGGCATGATGCAATCCAAGTGTTGTTGAACACATGGTTACGGTCTTGGGTCGCGGCCGTCATGACTGACGTGAAGATCGCCCCGCCGATCCGAGCGCCAAGAAAGTCCTGGAAAGCTGAGTTAATTCCGCGATACTGATCAGTTAGTCGAGGACAAATATACTAGAGTTTGTGAGGACTTTAGGGAATAAATGTCCAAGTCTATGCTTTACTGTTTCTCAGGGGGTGGTCGAAACAGTGGCGACAGCAATCTAATAAGCTTTTGCCCAGTCTCGCGTATTTGCTTGACGAAGCTTTTTCAGCTTACCCATGCTAGTGCTCCTAGTCTCATGTCTGCTCTAACCTGAACCCGCCATCAAGGCATGGGTCTCAGCAGCTCCAGAGAAGAAATTCATGCTTTGAGTAGCTCATCTCGGCATAGAAGCAAAAATAGATTAGTGAACGAACCAATTAAGGACATGAGAGTGGCCCACGATGCGTAATGGAGTAACAACGACACGCGAAGTCAAGAGACCATCCCTGCGTTTCCATGGCGCGCCGCGTAAGAATATGGGCCTCGTCAAGCGGAGGGGTCTCGCCATGAGGGGCATCTCTATTTTCATTCGTGCCTTTCTCCGGATTCAACGCAGAATGACGAAAGCTGTGAGCCAAGCTGTGGTTTCGATGTGTTTCATGCAGGCGAGAACCTTGAAATCGTGAAAGCTATGTCAGGAGAGATATATATTTAAACCCTGCGCCTGCCCTCTTTCTCTCTTTCAATCAGCCAGTCTGAAAACTTCCTACTTCCGACTACATCCATCACACAAGAATTCCCGCGTCAACCTACCTCCTTTTCAGCTTCCAGCATGCCTTTCGGTTGGGGTAAGCTCATCCACAATATGATCTCATAAAGCCCTCAAATCTGAAACAGCTTCCAATCTAGGAGAATCCGAGCGTTCTTACGACCAGGTCTACAACAACGGCCAGTTCGAGGAGAACAAATCTAGCCTCGGCCACGAAATCATAGCCGGCGGCGCGGCTTTTGCTGGCTTCAAGGCCTTTGAGGATCACCAGCGTAAAGAGGGTTAACCACTCTACTCGATTTCACTCAATTCTGGTGCTGATTAATCCTCCACAGGGAAGCCTGTGTCTCATGCCTTCGCAAAGGAGCTGGTCGCTGGATTCGCTGCTGCTGAGGTAGACAAGTTGGCCGAGACGAAGGGAGAAGATTGGTTTGATAAAGAGAAGGCTAAACGCCAAGCAAAGCAGAACGCCGAGCAGATGTACAACGACCACTATGTCCAGGACCAGGGCGCTGACCAATATGATCCGAATCATTACGGACGACACGAGAGGTTTGAGCAAAGGGGATGGAATTAAGGATGAAAGTTACGAGAGATCATTAGTAGCATTAAGCGACGGCTAGATACTTAAATACAATAGTTGCCTTGCTGAAGAGAGCTGTTCTGTCTTGCTATGCACTGGAGTCTCATGCAGAGTTTCAAGAATGACGTCGTGCGCTTGTACCACGCCGAGGCCCAAGCGGGGTAGACTGGAGCGATTTTCTGAAAAACACGACCTAGCTATGGGACCACGAAATCTCGTCTCCGTCGCACACAGCATTTGAACGACACGCTTTCACCTGCTTTCAATGTCCAATAACTCCAGCCACTTCTCTTTGATCCGTCGTGAATCCTGATGTCGCCGTTACTCTCGGATCAGTCCCCTTGCGCATTCCTAACCAATCGTCCTTTTCGCCTGTGTTACAGCTTCACAGCGCAGACATGAAATTCGCAAAGTAAGCATCTCCTTTTGCCATCTTGAGATAGATTCCACGAAGTTAATTGCCGTGTCCGCAGAGAGCTTGAGCACGACCTAGTCCCTGAGTGGCGGCTGAAGTACCTGAACTACAAGGTGCGGCAATTACGATCCATGACCTTCACCCAGTCCCAATTAACCGCTCCTTCCTCCAGCAAGGCAAAAAGAAGCTCAAAGCCATCTCTCGAGCACTTCGAACCGTCAACCAGACTCCGCGCTTTCGACGCCGTGGTGCGAGTACCCCCACCGCCTCGCCGTTCGAAACCGCCCCGAAATACTCGTTTCTCAATCGAAACCATGGCGGCCGGGAGACTATCGATGCGAAGGGTTCGAGAGACTTGAGGGCACTGGCAGTAAGGAATGACAAGGTCAGCTTGAAAGCAAAGTCCAATGGCAGTCGCTCCTCCCTTGCCAGAGAGATTCGGCCCAGTCCAGAGGAGCAGCCACTCAAGGAAGGACAAGATCCGGGATTTCAGGGCTTAACAAGATATGGCAGTATCATTGGAAGTCCCCCAGGCCCTTCCCCGCCGTCCGGTCGGCATGAGAGAGGAAGAATACCATCATCTTTGCAGCTGCCAGCATCTGCCCTAGATCCTGAAACTGCTTCGCCAAAGGCCGGCCCCTCCAATACAGCTCACGCCAATTCTAAGTCCCCCCCACTCCCTCCGAGTGCCGATAGCGATGCCTTCCATGTCGGGAAGACGAGATCGCCTCATCGGCAGTCTTCGACATTGCCGACGAGGTACAAGAGCATCTTCACACCCAAACGAATCAGTTCTACACCTGGACCGGACAACCCTCGGCCGTTGCTCCAACGAATGTTTTCGGTAACGGGAAGAGGAACCCCACCCTCTAGTCCAAGTGACGTCCCTCTTGAGGCGTATCGCGACCTTGACGTTCGACAGTCTGAATTCTTCAACTTCCTCGATCTAGAGCTTGAGAAAATTGAGTCCTTCTACAAGCAGAAGGAGGATGAGGCTACTGAGAGACTCCAGGTGCTAAGAGAGCAATTGCATATTATGAGAGACAGGCGAGTTGACGAACTTATCGCTCTGCAGACTGCCAAGATGAAAGCAAAACATGACATAAAGCATGCGGCTAACGGCCTCCATATTGACGGCCTGCTCTCCAGTTCCGAGGATGAAGAACAGCAGCCCACCCTGGGAGGTCATACGCTAAACGCCTCCTGGTTGAAGCCCGTTGATAGCGCCCTGGGGGCAGTTAAAGCTGGTCGATACGGTAAAACAACGAAAGGAATGTATGACCTCGGTACCCCGTCTGCCTTGAGGCCTCAAATAATGCCAGATGATCATCGCGACTACGTCCGTCATCCCGACCACCCCGACATCCCTTACCGGTCAGCGAAGAGGAAACTGAAGACCGCGCTTCAGGAGTACTACCGAGGGCTCGAGCTTTTAAAATCATTTGCTCTACTAAACCGGACAGCTTTCCGTAAGATTAACAAAAAGTACGACAAGACGGTCAATGCTCGCCCCTCCATGCGTTACATGACGGAGAAGGTGAACAAGGCATGGTTTGTTCAGAGCGATATTCTCGAGGGGCATATCCGTGTAGTAGAGGACTTATATGCAAGGTACTTCGAGAACGGGAATCACAAGGTCGCTGTTGGAAAGCTTCGGATAAAAATGTCTCGAGCAGGCGACTACACTGAAAATTCCTTCCGAAACGGCGTCATGTTGGCAGCAGGCCTCGTCTTCGGCATACAAGGGCTTGTGTACGGGATTCAATTGCTGTTTTCAGATGACTACACACTTGCGCTTAATACGAGTTATCTGCTCCAGGTAAGACAACACTGCGGGGCGATCGATTATTACTAACGTAACTGAGATCTACGCTGGGTATTTTCTCATGAATTTCTTGTTCCTTCTATTTTGCATGGCATGTCGTGTTTGGCACGAATCAAAAATCAACTACGTCTTTGTTTTCGAATATGATACCCGCCATCATCTAGACTGGAGGCAGCTTTGTGAAGTAAGTGGCCCGTGCTGAGAAGAGTGCTATGCTTACACCTTTTAGCTTCCTTCATTCTTCATCTTCCTTCTAGGGTTCATCATGTGGCTCAATTTCAATCAATTCGGCAGCAGGACCATGTACCTCTACTACCCTGTCATTTTAATTGGCATATCTGTGTTAGTGCTATTCTTTCCCGCGCCCGCAGTATACCACCGAAGTCGAATCTGGCTTTTGTATTCTACAGTGAGTGCCCTAGAATTGTTTAGAGTGATACGAGTTGACCTGAGCAGTGGCGCTTACTTCTAGCGGGACTGTATCCCGTTGAGTTCCGAGATTTTTATCTGGGTGATATGTTCTGCTCGCTAACGTATAGCATGGGGGTAAGTCTTGCCTGCTACAGTCACTATTATGCTAATCATCTGGCTAGAACATCGAGCTGTTCTTCTGTCTTTACTCCCAGGAATGGGGGAACCCCCCAATGTGTAATTCAACCCATTCTCGCCTTATGGGCTTCTTTGCTACCCTCCCAGGAATTTGGCGGGCTCTACAATGTATACGACGTTATTACGATACGCGAAACGTGTTCCCACATCTGGTGAATTGCGGAAAGTATATGGCAACCATCTCATTCTACGTCACATTGAGCATTTACCGCCTCCATAAGATCCCTGAAACTCGCGCCATCTTTATTACCTTCGCCGTAATTAATTCCATTTATTGCAGTAAGTCGTTCCTTGAATAGGATGAAAGCTTGGTGCTCATTTAGATTAGGCATATGGGATGTGATCATGGACTGGAGTCTTGGTGACCCATACGCTCGTCACCCCTTCCTTCGCAAAACGCTTGGCTACAAGCGAGTCTGGATATACTATGTTGCGATGGCTTTGGATCCTATACTACGGTTTAATTGGATCTTCTATGCTATTTGGCCTATCGAGCTTCAGCATTCTGCAATTTTGTCGTTCGTTGTCTCATTCTCAGAAGTTTGCAGGAGAGGCATGTGGACGCTTTTCCGAGTCGAGAACGAGCACTGTACGAAGTAAGTATCACTTCTAATTGAGCTTACCCCAGAACTGACATACAGAAGTGTCGGCCGCTTCCGTGCTTCTCGCGACATACCGTTACCCTACGACGTGCCCTCAAGCCCAGATGTATATGTTCGCGCCTCAGGCGAACACCAACAACACGCGGAGAACGGAACCAGAACTTCACCACATGCGTCTCTCCGCCGCACCTCAACTGCCCCCGCACCAGAAACTCTCACACCTCATACTCACACCTTTACCACGTCCTCTGGGCTCGAGGCAACTCAAAGCCGGTCTTCGGCTCGGCGTCGTAGAGCTACTTCCTACACAGGCACGGGCGATGACTCGTCTCCTCTTGCTCGAGGTTTGACAAGAGTAGGGACAATTCTTCGCGATGCTCATGCCCAAGATTTCGAGCGGAAGCGGAAGCCGGAGCTTGGGAGAAGTCCTGTTGGGAAACTTGAGGGTGAAGATTCGGAGGAGGAGGATGTTGATGATGATGATGATGACGACGTCAGTATGGAGGGCGAGTGTAATGAAGGTAATGCAGAAGAGTTCAGAGAAGCGAGGGAGGATATAGAGACTGGTACGGGTGTAGAGGGTGAGAGACGTGGAACATGACCGGGGTAATGTAAGATAGAAATGTGCATCCTATTAACCTTCCATCCGGTTTCAACGATGGTCTTGAGGGATAAATTCTGGCCTAATTAAGTTCCACGTTACAGGTTATCGTGCTGCAGATTCCTCTCATATCGCATACCTTTCCCATTGCCTATCTTGTCATACTTTACGCCCTCTATCATGATCCTTATCACACTTATTCTCTGTGCTTGCATTGTCTTCCTCAAACACAGGGTAGCACATCCCCTATGTGAATTCGAGTTTCCGAAGCGCCAAAGCGCTGGCATCTTAAAAGACATGAATCCTTTAAGAGCCACCTCGGTGAAGGACTGCCTCTCTAACGGGCAACTTGATACTAGGGTACCGTTTGGCGGCCAACTTTCTTTCTAAAATCATTGCAGCAGTCACTAACCCAGTGCTGATCAATATTATTACCCCTCAGAGCTTCACTATAAGCTCATCACCACGTAACGTCCGTAATAGCCAGTTATTCTCCTCTCTACTCCTTTCTTCATCAATTTCCCATCAGTGATTCAGGAGTTTCCCATGAACCGATAAAAATTCTGCAAGAAATGGCTTCCCCTCTCTTTGTCTCCGTATCCACATGTCCAATCTCCCCCATGATATTAATAAAATTTAACTCTGGATAGCTCCAGCCGCTCTTTTAATGAACATCTTGGAAAGAAGGGTCACGCTTCAAACAAGCGACTGTGTTGTCAAACTGAGACAGGAAATGTGGCGGCTTCTTATACTACTTTCCTCTCTTCCACGCCAACTCGAAGCCTCTCTGCAATTCCGGCTCGACGATCATCGGCGAACCAATCCTCCCGATGTATCGCGGATATCTCTCTTCTCTTTTCCTTTGTCTATGCGTTCAAGTAGGAAAATAAATTGCAATGCCCAGTGTAGTCCGCGACATTCCTTCTAACGTCATGTTTAATGAGGATATAGAGTTGTCGAGTGACTCGAGTCTCCCCAACAGCGCCGTCATCACGATCGGAGTCTTTCATCGCCAGTAACGGCATTAGCATCCCCACACTCGTCTAGCAAAGGCTTATCTCTAACAACTCCTCTGTGGCAGTGAGGTAGAGAATCGACTTTCCCGTGGCGTGATCAAGCAGCTCCTCCACACCCTCCTGACTCGTCGTCGAAATGAGACCGAAAGATGTTTTAACGTCGCCACGTCGTCATCCACACGTTTGATAGATCTCTTAATCTCCTTTAACGTTTGAAGAAACTCGCCAACAAGGTACAAATTCCCAGCTACAAACTCTCGATGACCGCAAACGGAAGCATTCTCTCTCCTTTCGCAAAATTACCCCCAAAAGTCTAAGGTCTCTTTCGTGTGCCCAATATTCAACCTTCCAGGCTTCTGCCTAAACTTCAGCCATCTTCTCCAACTTCTCTCCCAAAAGCTTCACCTCTGCTCCTTCTTTTTCCTTCATTTCCAAGACTCCTCTACTCTTGTCACAAACATCAGTCTCTCCTTGTTAATCTCATACTCCACCTCTTACCTAACCCTATAAAACGGAAATCATATTTCGTATTGCTAGAGAGTGAATTGGCTACCATGCAGCCAATCTCAATCCTTCGTTCTTGTCTCGCCCTCGTAGCGTTTGGTGAACCAATTTCCGTGCGTCTTCTTGTAGAACGGGCAGTGGATGGCCATCGTTCTCGTCTCTCACTAGAGGACTGGATCTTTGCGGAGACCGGATGGCATGTTCCAAGATTAGCCGAATCAGAGTTGGAAGGGGGAAAGTGGGAGGGAAGAGAAACGATAATTTAGTCCTAGGTGCTTATGAGTGTATGAGTGCAGACACCAAGACGAAGATGGGCTCGAATATTCTTCTCATGTGAAATTGTGCGTGATGCTATGGGACGAGTCCAATAGGAACACGGCTTCATCATTTTTCGATTGATTGTTGCATCACTCGCAGATATCGCTGGACAATGATTCTGCCTTTGGCGTGGGCGATAGTTTGATGATCCCGTTAGAAAGTCGTCGTCGCATGCTGTAGGCAAAGATTGCTAAATTTTCACCAATGATATCAGTCAACTCCACGGCCAGGTCACGAAATTCTAGATTACTGTTTCGGGGACACCACGCAAAAAGATGCAAACATTCCGTTGCTAGCTTTACATGTCCGACGCAGGACTTTCTTGCGGCCATGAGACCTCGCTTAGGGTTGTCGAATGCTGCGGATGAGGCTTTGGTTTACATTTCGATCCTTCCTGTGCGGCACAGCATAATCGCCCCCAAGGCTCTCCCCTAAGGCAACCGCAGAACATCTCAAGCCTGAATACGAATGAAGAGGCTGGGGATTAGGGACGCACCAATAACTTTCAATAGGCTGCAATTCTCGTTAGGTTGATTCGCACCACAGGTAGGTGCGCCACCCCACCTCCGCTTCGGCCTGTTTCACAACATTTCTAACTGTCTCCCAACATCTTCCAAGGCCGTGAGTAGATCCTGGTCAGAAGAGGCTTTTCTATAATAAGCGGATCTGTTCGCTGATTTATTCATCGGCTTCAGCATAGTCTTTTGTCTGCTTTAGAGATCTCAAGTCTAAGTAATACAACGTTTAAAGCGTTCTAAAAAGATAAATTATGTCTCCCAAAGGACCGCTCATGGCGCAAGTGGGATTGAAGACCAGTAAGTTCTGTACAATTCAAAGAGCTCGGAAACGTATCCTTCGAGGATGCGATTAAGACGAAGGAAGTGAAGATTGAGAAGAACAGGGAGGTGGTGATCATAGAGGAAAAGGCTGGAGGAGTAGAAGTCAAGGACTCTGAGACTAGGGAGGTTTAGATCAATGAGGGAAATATTAAAGAAGTAGAGACTGAGGACATAAAGATTAACGGTGTATTGTTTCGGGAGGAGAAGATTTAAGAGCTAATCACTGAGCTTGAGGACTTGACCACTGCAGTAAATGAGTCTATCGCTATGCTAAAGGAGTTGAAGGTCAAAAATGAAACTACCCAGACGGGCGACTGACGTCCCAAGCTATGTTTTTCAAAACACGAAATCAACCATCTTCGCTACGAGGTCACGCACAAGGAAGATAACGTAATCGTGAAAGGATGGTAATTGAAACCATGAAAACGGTCGACTCGAACACAGAATGAGATTCCCTCCTGTAGACGTAATGAGCAGGTACGACCATAGATCGAGTGACAAGCAAATCTCAGGACATATTTTGGGCAGAGGACGCGCGGAGCCTCGAAATACGGAGCGGAGCGCCTTTTTAGACTCCAAGGCGATCGATCAAGCAAATCTAATCTTATTCAAGCGAGCCATTCTGGGTCGCAACCCACAACATGTCTCCTCCGGAGCAATGGGAATTATGTAGATGGGAGTGGTGTTGACAATTCTTCATCTAATCTTGCGGAAAAGCTTCCTTCCATAGCGGTGCTTTTGATAATGAGAGAATATGTTATAGTTGCGTAGAATTCGTCCAAGCGTCAATGAATGGCCGGCTACGAATGGTTTGAGCTGAAAATTGAGACAGTGGAGCTTACTACTCAGCCACGAAAGTGAATGGAGGGTCAATATTATGGTGGAGAGTGCAGCCTTACTTATGCAGCCTTACTTATACATAGACAGAAAGAATATAGTTAACCAAGTGCGAAATCTCCCTTCTATCCTCTTCTTAATTTGGTCGAAAGACAAGTGCTAGATTACGCTCTATCTTTTCTCGCCCATACTTCTCTTATATTAATGCCTCCCCACCAGACTCAGCAAAGGCAGCATATACACCGCGGTAATCCATGCATTCCAAAACATAAACGTCTTCTTGTCATCCCTCACACGTCTTAAAGCCATCGTTCTTATCCCCACAACGGCCGCCAAAATGCCTACCAGCCCAAACCCCAGAGCACCAACATCCCAATACAACGCGCAAAATATAGACCAAATTCCTACAGAAATCACAATGGAGATCCTCGCCGCAACATCTCCAATAACAAGGGGAACGGTCCTGCGGCCGCGCGCACGATCACCGGCTTGGTCGTGCATGTCTTGGGCATGCGTGGTGGTGAATACGATAATGATAAGGATTCCGAGCCAATTCCAGAGGGGTAAGAAGTTATGCTTAGAAAGGCCGTGCAGCTCAGCGACACTCGTGAGTATGTTGGCGTATGGAAGCAGGGAGTGACCCACTGCAACTTCCATTGCCCCGGATGAGAAGGATACGTAACCTAAGCCGTTAATCAGGTTTCTCACAACGCAGCTGTTGTCTGCACCGCCTAGATCGTTGTACCAGCATCCTAGGATCTGTCAGTGTAAAAGTCCGCGCTTCAACAGAAGGTGTGACTTACCCAAAACCATCAAAGCTAAACACTGCGCCATACCGCCAACTCTCCAACTAATGAATGCTGTAGTGATGTACGAACAGAGCATGAATTTCTTCGCTTGTGCTTGTGTCATTCTTCCGGATGGCATAGCTCTCCATGACTTGTTGATCCGGTCTTCCTCGATTGCAGCCCAGTGTCGTTGGTTGTCGATCGCGAATGGTAGGAGATTACTCCAAACCCATAACGCCGTGACAGGAGCTTGAAGGAGCGCATCCACTGGTCTAATAGCATATTCAGACGGCAATCCGAAGGCGGAGGTTGCGGTGGCGCCCAGAATACCAAATATCGTTTTGGGAAGTATAATAGTCTTGATGTCACTTCGAGTAAAGAGCCAAGTCGAATACAGATGGTATCGCAACCAGTTGGTGATGATATAGACATCTTCGCGGGATTTGGGAGTCTTAAGCCCGAAGAGACTAGGGGTGCGTGAGAGTTGAACGGGGACCACCGCACAACACATAGCGAAAGAATAGAGTGGTAATCCCAAGGGAACTGATAGCCTAGCTCTGACTATGGGTAGGCAGTCCATCACATCTACCATTCGAGCCCTGGCTTAAATGTAATTTCTCATCTCGACCCCTAGAACTCGTTTGGCCAATACGCATCGTGGTCAAGATCTTATCTTGTCGTTCCCTCTTACATTCGGTGGCGCAGAAGGGATCCTGACCCCAGTCTGTAAATCCTTCAAACCCTCCTTTCGGCACTTATCGACAGTGTATCGTTTATGCTGATGATATGGAGGTTCGATATATCCCGGGAAAGTTCAAGATGTGTACTTTATGAGCATTTATCGGACAGCGATGAACACTTTCCCAGATTCGTCCCTTCCGCTTGTCTACCCGGTGGAACCACGCCAATGTTAGTGAGGGCGCAGATTACAATAGTGGCTGCCTTATCTTTCTCTGCATCTGCGTCGCCTCCTTTTATTCCCAACGTTCTCTTCCCCCCATGGAACCGTATCAGGCGTGTTCGAGATTGGGAGCCGGGGGCGCCTGCATCCATGCGAATCCGGTGGCACAGTTGGCAAAAGAAGTGGTGATGCGCCACATATTTTTCAAGAGGGGGATTCCACGTATATGTTAGTAATTTTGGGTGTACCTACACTTCCATGCACAGAAGAGGGTGACAACTTTGTTAAGAAATCAATGCCTGTGAATGTAGATAATGAATTAGTGCAGGGGATAACTTCCCTTTAACTAATAAAAGGAGGAGGATTTGAGGGAAGGGATCTTCCCAAGAGTGAACGATACGCCTACGTTTTCAGGTAATCAGAATACCAACCGTCCGACGCGAAGACTACGGAAACATACATCCAGCCAGCCTATACTTAAGCCGCCCCAATACCCTTAAGGTAATCCTCATGTAGCTTCCTCTGCTTCTCCCACTCCTTCTTCAACTTCTTCATCTTCGACTTCGGCACATCCTCACCCTTCGCATCCTTAGTGGGCATGCCATCTAAATCCCACGCACTGAACTCCTCCGTCTTAAACATCTCCTTATGATCGATTTTGGCTTGCTCTGCAAGCTTCGCTCTCCTCTCTGCTTCTTCCCTCTCCCGCTTCTCTTTCGCTTCACGCTTCTGTCGAGCGATGGCTTCCTTCTGGTCACGAGCGGCGCGTAGCTCTGAATCAATCGGCCGTACCATTGCGTGAGAATTTTCTCGGTCTTCGAGATAGACGCCCAAGTTCCAGAGATCGAGATCCCGAAGCTTGTCGCAAAGGGCGAGGAATTCTTTAGCGGGGGCTTTCTTCTCCGCAAGAGTCTTCAAGTTCTCCTGAAACGATGACAACACCTCTGCATAGGGGGCTGCAGATGCATCTTGCTGGGGGACGAATCTGTCTTTCGCGATGATGGATGCGAGGACTGAGTCTGATAAGTCTCCTGCAATTGCGTGCTGGCGGACTTCGTCGCGCTCGCGAGCGGCAGCATAGACGAATTGTTTCGCCTCAGTAGGGATGTCAATGCCATACCAGCCAGTTGTGCCATCATTGGGGTCGGCTGAGCCGTCGAGGCCGAAGATGCGCACTATTCGTGTGATCCACTTAGCAATGTCGAAGACCACTGCATCCGAGAGCCCAGATTTATCAGTCGAATTGTACTCTGTAATGAGGCCGGATATAGCGCGCAGAGCCGTCGGCGTATCAAAGGAGTCCGCAAGCGCGCTATGTAGTCTCTCTTTCGCAGCTTCAAATAGCTTCCGCAATCTCTCGTCTTCAGCCCCAGATGCGTTGGTATTAGGATGTTGTTCGAGATCCCGGACTTTATAGAAGAAGTTCGTGACGTAGCTTTCGAATGATGAGCCTGCTTTTCGGAGATCGTCTGTGATCTCAACGCCGTCATGCCAGCCGCCAAGGAGAAAGATGATGCGGAGGCTTCGGGCTGTCCAATCACCACGCGCTAGAGCTTCACGGATAGTGATGAAGTTCTTGAGGGACTTGGACATCTTGGAGCCTGATATTGAGAGGTGGCCCATATGGAGGAAGTAGTTTACCCACTGGTGGCCGCCCTCCTTGTGAGAGAAGTGGGCTTCACTCTGTGCAAGTTCGCTGCAATCTATTAGAGAAAATCCGTGGACAAGGAGGCAAAGAACTTACTTATCATGATGAGGAAAGCACAAGTCTATTCCACCAGAGTGGATGTCCATCTGTGACCCTAGGACATCGCTAGCCATCGCCGAGCACTCGATGTGCCATCCTGGACGGCCGGGTCCCCAGGGCGATGTCCAGGCTGGCTCACCTGGCTTACTTGATTTCCACAGGGCGAAGTCAGCGTCACCACGTTTCTCCGTTGGCTTCTTCGTCAACGCTCCCTCACCGTCTGCCTGAAGATCTTTGTTGTTTCGATTCCAAGGTTCAAGGCGAGCGTAGTGGTTGCCAGGTGTTTTTTCGAAACTATCAATGTCGAAGTATATTGAGCCATCCGAAGTTTGATACCCGTACTTGTTCTCGACAATCTTTTCTACGAACATTACAATTTGAGGGCCGTACTCTGTTACACGAGTGACGACATCCGGGTCCAGCACGTTTAGACTCCTCATATCCTCATTGAATCTAGCCTCGAACTTCTGTGTCAGCTTCGTAAAGATGGAGCGGTCTTCAGAGTCGATATCTGAGCCATGTAAGCTGTCTAGATATGGGAGTAAGACATCCTCGGCACCAGTGTAGAACTCGTTTACGTCTGTCTGTGTCAAATTTGAGGATGCTAGAAGTGCAGTCGCTGCCGAGCCTGCTGTCTTCAAGTGCATCTTGATCTTCGCTTCCTCGTCGGTCGGTGGTCCTATTCCGTCTAGTGACTTCCCCGCAATGACATGGGCATATTTTCCCGACGATTCCTTGTTGAAGTCTTCTGGTCTCAAGTCCTGGCTCAGCAAGGGGAGATTTTTCTTCACATACGCATCGAAAGCCCTGACAGTCGTTTCCAGCACTTGCTTGGTTAGTTTTGGATTCTCTGCTTTGAATTTGGCCAACAAATGCTGCTGCCGTCCGCGCAGAATAATTTTATCGTCCACATCTGTCACGTTCTGCACGAACTTTAGATTGAAGTTGAAGTACCCAGCCATAATTCTCCGGAGAATGTCAATGGTGACATAGTTCCTAGCATGGCCTAGGTGGGAGTCATCATAGACAGTGGGTCCGCAAGAATACCATTTTACCTCCTTTCCTTCAGGGTCGATGGGAATGAAGTCATTCTTAGTCCGGGTTAATGAGTTCCAGACTTTCAGTTTAGGAGGGATAGATGACTGGGGTTCCTTCCAGGGTGGCTGTGTACGTGCTTGTGTAGCCATGGTAGCTATCCAGATTCGTCGAAACGCTACTTTACTGCAGATTTGAAGTCTGTGGGGGATGGTTCCTATTGAAGCAATTTGACGTGACAAAGCCGGCAAACGAAATACCATCAAGGAGATGGCGTGGAGACAGGGGGTTAAAGGAGTGGCAGAAGTGAAGGGGAGACAAGAGTATGAGTAAAGAGAAGACGATGAAGTGTTCAGAAACACAATAGGGTGAGTCAGTGAGAGGCTGGAGGCTGTGGCTGTCGTGTCACGTTGATTGCGGAATTAGACCCCTGTCACAGAGGTCTTGGCGCATTTCCCCGCTGCCGGCGAAGCTCCCCGCCAAAAATTTCCGTCTCCCTTAGCTTCACCAGGTGACCAGGTCCAATTCACCATCGGGTTAACTCCGAGCACCCACGTTACACATTTCTGCACGTGTGTAAGACGCTTCAATGGCGACTTCCCCGTCGCCGTTTCTCGACCCAGGCACACATTCCGCGCCGAACAGTCTCGGGATCCTCCAGCTCAAACGCGACCACCTCATCCCTACGGTGCTCTCTCCATCCACGAATTCGGATTATGCTGAAGGCAAAGTTGAAAACACCCGATTCGGCTCATACCCGCACAGTACCCTCCTCAACCAACCGTGGGGAACGCAGATCCTCGCGTCGGTCGTTGATACCGGATCAAGAGGAGCAAAATCAAAGAAGCGAAAGCGCGAAGTGGATGAGGAGGGTCAGAGGACACTAACCCATGAGACTGATGAGACTAGCGGAGACTTGGTTAAAGCTGCCACGGCAAGCAGTGGATTTGCGCACTTGATACCTCCCTCACCGGAAACGTGGACGCTCTGCTTACCACATCGGACCCAAGTCGTGTATACACCGGATTATAGCTACATTCTACAGAGACTAAAAGTGCGGCCGGGTGACCACATAATTGAGGCTGGAGCAGGAAGCGGTAGCTTTACACACGCTGCTGTCCGTGCCGTGTTCAGTGGCTATCTCGAGGAGGCAACCACGACCAATGGCGTGGAACATCCTGGTGGGGAGCATGGGGATGTGGCCGCCAAGAAAAGGAAGAAGAGACATGGCCAGGTCTACAGCTTTGAATTTCATGAGAAACGGGCAAACCAATTGCAGAATGAGATTGGAGAACATGGCCTTGATCGCCTAGTCACCATTACTAATCGAGATGTCTATCAGGATGGATTCTGCATTCCTTCCGATTCGGAAATGGAACCAGCACCAGACGCCGACGCCATATTTCTTGATCTGCCAGCGCCTTGGTTGGCCCTCAAACACCTCACCCGGTCCCCGCCATCATCCGCTGCCCTTAAATCCGTAGCTTCGGTCTCAGATCCATCAACACCAGCGGCTATCGATTCAACTTCCACTCCACAGCTTTACATACCTCTGAAACCCTTCCGATCTCCACTAAACCCTAAATCCGCCATCCGAATATGTACCTTCTCTCCTTGCATCGAACAAGTCACTAAAACTGTCTCCGCTCTCCGCTCCCTAGGCTGGCTGGAGATCGACATGGTCGAGATCCTCTCCAAGCGGCTTGAAGTCCGACGCGAACGCATCGGTCTGCAGGAAGAAGGGCTTCGAGGTGCTAATCCTAGCGCTGCTACTGTCAAAGAAGCAGTACAGCGCCTGCGTGATGTTGAAGATCGCGCAAAGATCTTTCACGGATTACAGAAAGAGAAGCAGGAGAAAATCATGAGGAGGGCGGAGGCGAAGAAGAGGGGTGAGAAAGTCGTGCAATCGAAAGAGGATAAAACAGGAGCAGATGGAGACGGGAAGAAGCGAGTCGAGGGTTTGCCGCCGTCGAAGCACGATAGGCTGGAGCAGGTGAAGAAGGACTTGGCGACAAGAGAACTCTTCAAGGAAGGGAGGTTGATTCATCGGACGGAGCCCGAGCTGAAGACTCATACTTCGTATCTCGTCTTTGCTGTGCTTCCACGAGAGTGGAGTAGGGACGATGAGGAAAAGGCAAAGCTGAAGTGGGGCTGATAGCAGCATTCAATCTATTTTTGCTACATGACCCAATGTAGCGCCATGGGTTGGAGGGTTGCTATCTTCGAACTGTATGCTCATAAACAGAAATCCATGTCGAAGACATCTCACCACATCCATCGTTAGTCCTTTCTCTGAGAACATCTCCTCAGGCAAAAAGGAGCTTGAATAAAATTACCAACCCGCTCCACCCACTGTTCATGGGGAAGGCGTCACCTCACTGAAGGAAAAGGAAATTTCTGCACTTCTAATTGTTTCTAACTAGTACCGACTACGACTGAATCCCAGCGATGCGGACAACGTTGACATCCGATAAATTCCAGCCCGGTCTTAGACACCATGGAACAGAACAAGAAGCTATCTGATCCATTAACCCATGCACCAGAATTAAACACGACCCCAACAGGGCCCCAATTCCTCCTGCAAACCAGCGCTTTCCTATCCTGTCCTCATCCTTATGTAAATTGCTACCAAATTCGGGTTCCTGCGGGGGCACAAGCCACCACAACGTTGATGTTTCAGGGCCAAACTACAGAAGGAGTGCGCTTCTTCCGCGGTCGTCGACTCAATCAAAGCGAAGCGGGTACTGTGGCAGGATTCTAGCCGAGCAAGCAAGGCGGAATCCGGATGTTTCGAACTGAAGCGAAACACCCCCAAATGCTCCCTCAACTTTAATCTTACCACTTCGGAGATTTTGTGGACAGTAAACGACACAAAACTACATGCTACGATTTAGTTTATGCCGTCCTCTGACTGAAGCTGAAACCACATACAGAGTTCTGTCTACTGAGGACTCCACCTAATGCATATATGTCTAAGTGTTAAATATATTCACCCCATGCGCAGTCCTCGCAAGGCAAATCAACGGAATTCCGCTCATCCCCACACAGCGTCTTTCGCTCTCGCACTGCCATGTCTCGCAGGTGGAGTCGAAATCACATGCGTCCAAGCCTCTTTTCCATCAATGAACAACCTATAATTAAGAAGACTCTGTTCACTGTTCGCTGGAGCCGTAATCTCCACTGCGCCAAACTTGCTATTCCCGTCGGGTAAGTACTTGATGCAGACATCCTCATCGTCGATCTCGCCGTAGGTGCGGAAAGGCAGATAAAACATTGACAATGGGCTCGTGCTGAACTCGTGGACGCTTGCGCTGACGGGCCATTTTGAATCCTTTGGCGGCGGGAATGAGGTGGCTGCGAACTCGTGGCGGTCGCCGCTGAGAATAACAACTCCAATACTCATCTTAGAGCTGAGGTCCCAAGCCGCCTCTAGAATCTTACGGCGTTCGAAGAGATAGCCGCCCCAAGTGTCTTCCGAACCGAACTGCCAGTTCTTAGTGAATGGGATGCTGGAGACGATGATCTTCCAGTGTATGCCTCGAGGAGGCGATTCGCTTATCCAATGGAGGAGGTCCGACAGCTGCGGTTCTCCAAGCATAGTCTTGGTCTCATCTGCAGCATTGCTATTCTCCGGACTACGATAGCGACGAGTGTCCATGAGGAAGAATTGCGCTGGACCCTGTGTGAACATGAAGTATGTGTGACCTTCTCGGACCGCAGGTGGATTGGCTACCACATGATAGTTTGTGAAGGCATCATACGCAGCGCTAAAGACGCCCGTGGTATTGCCACTCCAATCATTCTGGATTTCATGGTCGTCAATAACATGGATCCAGGGGAGGTTATTGCCCACTGTAGGCCAGGAGGGAGAAGAATAGACTTGTCGATATTCCCGACGATAGGCCTCCGCATCTTTGCCCAATCGTTGAGGGACGTCGACGTAGATGAAGTCACCTAGAAAGAGCATGAAATAGGGCCGGAGTTCAGGCAACCATTTGGTAAGATGTGCCATTCCGGGGAAGTGAAGCGGATGTTGAAGAGGTGTGTAAGGAACGCGCGGCTTGATGCAGCTGGAGTGCACGAACGTGTATTTGTCGTCCTTTGATTGCGAAATTTGACCAGCGCGAGGGGCGGTGGTAAAGGTGCCTGTTACATTGCCCCTCGAAACCTCTACAATATACTCATAGGCTGTGTCAGAATGAAGATGCTCGAGGGTGATGGCTGCAGTGAAATCGGTATCATTGGTCAGCCAGTACCCCGGGTGGCTTGCCCAGAGAGTTTTTTGCATCCATGGACCAGAGACAGCGTTCACCGGACGAAACCTGACTCTTACATCGAAGGTATATGGTTCTCGAACGAGGAATTTTGCGCTGTTTTCCGAAACATAGCCAACGCGGGCAAATGACGCATCATGGCACGGGTAGAGCACAGGTGCGCGCAACATCACATCCAATGCCATAGATATCAGGGCAATGTTGATGGCAAAGGTTACCCAGCTCCACAGGGCCGAAGAGGGACTTGGAAGACCTGTGAGTAGCGTCCGCAGTATTCTGGGCTCCCTCTCCTCATATTTAATTGTTTCCTGCACGTCTAGCTCTTGCAGCGACCCGTCTTCTGCGCCCTCGAGCAGTTCTATCTCTTCAGACGAGGATTCAGAGGAGCAGGATTCGCCCCGCGCCACAGTCTCCTTGACAATAACGTCGAGCTCATCAGAGATGACCTTGAACTGGGCTGTGTCCTGGAAGCTGAGGAAAAAAGAGGGTATGTAGACCAGGGTCAAGGCGGTAGCGAGTGGTGGCACGATCTAGGGGACGTCGTCAGAATACTCGATGCGGCTCACGATGAAACGCTGAGACGCGGATGACTAACAGTGGTCGGTATCTGCGGTAATCAATGGTTAGCTCCGTGACAGGCAATATATTGAGGGAGCAACTCCAGGCTGGGGGCTCAAGGCAGACACTCACCCAGCGCAAGAAGATCCAGATGCTAAAGCGCAGGGCGAGAGAGCTGGTGAGGGTAATAATGTCGCTGGCAGAGGCCATTCTGGGCTATCATGGCGAGGCCGTGCGTCGCGGTGTTGCGGCTCGGCGTGCGCGTTTGATGAGTGAGCCAGTGAGGGAAACATCTCAGCTTCGCATACAAGACAACCAAAGTGCGTCATGGCTGGCGGTTTGCGCTAGTCTCGATTGGCGATAGCCGCGTTTTGGCCGCTTCGGGCTGCTGATGATTGTTCCTTCGACTCACAAGCCTCATGCTGCTCGGCAAGTCACCTGTGCCAATACGATAACACGATTCCTTTTACGTCGTACAGTGGCAATGCCGCCCTTGATGCCTTCTTCGTCGTATTCTCGAACCTATCGCAACTTGAGAAGCCCTGCACCAGGTAGGTAACCAGACGTTTAAGGCAATTCCTTCACTCCCACCATGTCTTAGAAGGCATGCAATGTGACTTCGACTTCTAACTCTGTCCTGCGATGTCTGCATTTGGCCTCAATTCCGTTACATACAGGATGGATTTCTATATAAACTCATCTCCATGTCGAAGGAAAAACCCCACGTTCAGAAACCCCAATCACTCGTTTCACAAGCACCATTCATTCACTCGCTTTCTGCTGTTAACTACCTGGTACACCTTTTCCACTATCCTCTAATCTTATATCACCTTCTTGCTTCAATTGTTGCCCAACTCCCCTCTCCCAATCACTCGCTAGTCATGGGTATCATCCAAAGCACCAGTTCCTACCCACCCCCTCCCAAATGCCCCAACTGCGGACAGCCGATAACAGGGAACCATTCCTGCTCATCCAGCACTCCGACATCAAGCTCCGGTTCACAAAGCTCCGGTTTGACAATGGGCTAGTGCTCCTACGTCTGCTGAACGATCGGGAATTGTACATGAATCTTGCCAACCATCTTTAAACCTTCACATGGCCAGACTGGCAGCAATTATTTCCCACCCAATCATCATGTACCCAAGCTGCGCATCAAGAATGGAACGAATTAGAAGAACGGAAGGAAACGGGTAATGATGATATGAAGAAGGAAGTGGCTGAGGGGGACGGGGAGTGGGAGTGGGGCAGTTTTCGTGTTCCTTTGACGGCTATTCGACTCTCGACGAGCAAGGGAGAGAACAGCTCACCGGAGAGATCACCTTCAAAGGCAAGAGCCTACAGACTTTATCGATGATGAGGCTAGTATCAAGTTACCCAATTCCAAGAAAGATATTTGGTCTCATCCTTCAGATCCTAGGGTGGCTTGGGTTGTGGGGTGTAAGACTCTGGTTTCATTTTGTCTCCATTCCATGCCATTTTCTTCCCGTAGACTTTCCCCCTGTTTTTCGCCCCTTCCACTCCATCCTATCTGCCTCGTTTCTTGTTTGACTCGGACAGCGTGCCTCAACGCTCGCCCTCCCCTTCATTTTTTTGTCAATTATTATCTACACACACCCCGAATAATTCAGTCCTACATCTTAATCCAGCCATTAATTCTTATCACATCCCTGACGTCCTACAGTACTCCTTGACCCGGGCACACAGTGGAAAAAGTATTACGACTGCTGCACCTGGCGCAATCATGAATGCCTTTCTCATCTAGTGCATCAGTCACCATCAAATCCGCGCTTCGCCGACAAGATTGAAAGCAAGCTAGTGCTTGAAGAGAATGAGTTTGTGTTTGACAGCTTCCACCCTGGAGCCATTGAACTTTCCGAAAAGATACAGGAGCGAAGGGATGCGGCAAAATATCTAGTGATGATGCCTTCTGGAAGCCTAGCGACAATGCTTTGGAAGCCTAGGCAATGATGCAAATGCGGTTTAGGCAAGGTCAGTTACCTTCTCTAAATGAAATCTGCTGATTATTCACAAAAATCCCAGGCTTTAATAAGCCTCTATAGCTATTAAGCGTCTCTACAATCAAGAATCCAGCTCTGGCATTTCCTGGGGAGATCGCGGAGACCTGAGTTTAGGCCTGAGATATGCATTCACGTGAGAGGACCGGCGTTCTTTCCGTCTAGTTTGAGCTAACTCTAGAAAGCTTAAGTCCGTAGGCGGAACTCTAACTTAGCCGAAAATCTTCGACGGAAAAGTGCTGTTATCGGAAGTGCATTTCCTCGTCCAACCAATGGATCATCTTCTTTTGCATCGCTCCATCGTTCCTTCCGAGATGGATGTCATGGCTTGCCCCGCTATCGGTGGAATCAACTTTGAATAACTGACCCCGCCTGGCTTTCCTTCTCGCATTTTCCCAACTCCAGCTTTCATTCTACATACTTGCTTCTCGGTAGACACTAGTAATTTATAATGTCTGTTCCTATTCCTCAAAACCCAGATCCTGAGCAGTTTCATGACCTCGAGAAGTTAAGCTCTATCGTTAACAGCCAGGACATTCACGGAAGTGATCGCGATTCAATCCATTCCACAGACCACGATGAAATTTCCCGCACTCCCTCTCAACGCCAGAATAGCCATAAGTCGCTAGGCACTGCCATCTCCAGAGTTTTTTCGGCTCGGTCCAATGCTTCCCTTCAAGATCCAGGCCCTCCCCCGGACAAAGGCATCAAGGCCTGGACTCAAGCTTTCATGGGCCATCTGGTCGTTTTCAACACTTGGGGATTGATCGCATCCTTTGGCGTCTTCCAGACACATTATACCTCGAATCTTGGACTCAATCCCTCCGCTGTCTCGTGGATTGGATCCATGCAGATGCTAGGACATTTCTTCTTCGGAATGTTTTCTGGACGTGCGCTGGATGCTGGGCACTTCCATTGGGTAGTCATACCTGGAGTTTTCTTAGCCGCTTTAGGCATGTTTATGGCATCTCTAAGCTCTCAGTATTACCAATTCTTCCTTGCGCAAGGCGTACTTACCGGCCTGGGATGTGGACTCCAATTCACACCCGCCATGTCCCTCGTTACAACGTACTTCTCCAAGAATCGGAGTGTGGCAGTAGCCATCGTCGCTTCTGGCTCCGCAACTGGAGGAATGGTTTACCCTTCTATCGCACGCCAGCTCTTGCCCAAAATAGGCTTTCCATGGACCGTACGAGTGATGGGCTTCCTGATGCTGGCTGTAGGAGCGTGCTACACCTCCCTTCTAAAACCCCGTCTTCCACCTCGAAGGGCCGGTCCGCTTCTTGAAATCGCCGCTTTCAAAGAAGCCGCATACAGCTTATACCTCCTTGGCGTCTTCCTCGTAACCCTGGGGCAATTCTTTGCATTCTACTACGTTGGTACTTATGGCATAGATGTCATCGGAGTGTCTTACAGTACATCCGTCAACCTCCTCATGATCATGAACGGGCTCGGACTCATCGGCCGCCTCATCCCATCCTATTTCGCAGACCTCAAGTTTGGACCACACAACACACTCATCCCGTTCGCGTTCATCAGCGCAATTGTCATTTACTGTTGGTCCGCTGTTCGTACAGTCAACGGACTCTACGCCTTCTCTATCACATATGGTCTCTTTACCGCAGGATTCCAGGGGCTTTTTCCATCTACCCTGAGTTCACTGACTAAGGACTTGAGTAAAGTTGGGGTGCGGAACGGTATGGGGTTTGCAGTCACGGGTATTGCGACGTTGATTGGGCCGCCGATATCTGGGGCGCTGATTCAAAGGAATGGAGGGATTTATTTTACGGCGCAGATGTGGGCTGGTAGTATGATTGTGGCGGGCTCCGTCGTTCTTATTATTGGTAGGATTAGTCGGACGGGGTGGGTGCTACGGGCGAGGGTTTAGGTAAATATCATCCCTGGTTCCTGAATTGAACTAGAGGGTGTGTCCATTCATGATGCTCACAGGTACACGACATCTGAGATCTCTGATAGCTTTGAATGCTCGCACGCACGACAGAACTTGGCAAGGCCGGATTTGGGAGAGAGTTTGATACTCTTTTGACATAATGGTGATTTTAGCAAGAGAGGTTGAAAATTAGAACACCTCTGTAGGTGTTCCTAGGTACGTGATGATATACTCTACCCTAAATGTCCTTTCTACTCTGCTAAATATATGTAATACTCCCTTGTTCCTTTTTAACTTCTCAAGTTCCGTAAAAGTCTGTCCTAGTACTAGAATTAGCATATATATAACCTTCTACATGTTTCCAGCAAGTTCTCTAACAGACTAAACTTTCTCTAATAGCAGGCATAGTAGCTGCTAATATATTGCACGTTAGAGCATCTTGCCAATGTTTGTAAGGTCTAGTTATCTCCTGTAGGTAGTTTGCGTAAGACCATCCTGCTTGTAGGCGCTCGTTCGAGCAATGCTTCGAAATTATCTACGTCTCGGATTTCCATTTGTCGAGTCCTTTTCGAGATCCTAAAGCACAAAACCTCGACAGATGTTCTACCAATGTTATCTTTTGGAAGCTATTAGCCACTGTCCTGCTCCTCTAGATATTGAAATCAGGTTGCGATCATAGAGGCTTGTTTCGTTGCGCAAATCGGAGATACGTCTTGCTCTGTCGGTCCTAGATCCATAGGTGGAATCTGTTCGGTGCCCCGAAAGCCATTTTAATGCTACGATCTAGTTTCGGGGACGTCGTGTCCTTGTGTCTGAGTCTATATTTCAGCCCGGGTCTAAAAACACCCAAGCCCTCACAAAGCGGAACTGCGTCGGCTCTCTAAAAATAATAAATGGCATCTGTAGCCACCCTGTAAATTGCGGCTTCGGCGTTCCTGAGTTGGAATACGCGATTAGAAAGGGTTTGCTGTCTCTGTGGGTGTATCGAAAACTGCAACGCTTCGGGCTAGCTCGTCAGCATATGAATACCTACAACATAATAAAGGATAAATGTGGGTGTCACCGTACCCAGCATCGGTGAAGACTTTTTTAATGCAAGCCTGAAGATCGGTGTGTATGTCGTTGGCACGGAAGAACTCATTCTCAGTCTTGCGCGACTTGCAGGGCTTCCAACGGGCCGTACTACGGTCCGTACAAAGTTAACCGTAACGGTCACGTGTTCAGTACGAACGTACCGAGTTCGTGAGCCGTACCGTACGATTAATGATGCCCTAGGTACGGTACGTAGTACAGATTGTATTACCCTTTTAGGAAGTTTGTATAGGGGTTCTGGAGGGGTAGGAGGGCTCTAGTGAGCAGGAGGCCTGCGGGCGCTTAAATCTTTTTCTAAGGGGTTTAATCTATCCATCTGCAGTCTGTCGTCTCAAAAATGCCTATTACAGACCATTTTCTATTGCAGAGTTATCTATCCACGCCTCTTGCCGCCTTATAGGCCTTATCTAGTCCTATCTGCTCTTGTTACTAGGGAGAACTAGTTATTTTATAGTTAATTAGACCTTAATCTTGCGTCTCTAGAGACCTATAGTCTTAGCTGTTTTAACTAGAGTACGGCGTACTTTAATTAAATTGTACTACTCGTACAGATCACGTGAGCTGTAACAGTTACGATACGTACACCTACCTCTCCTCCTCCCTGTCGTACGAACGTACACAAAATCTCACCCGTACAGGCCTCAAAATCGCCCAGTCGTACAGTACTACGCCTCGTTGGAAGCCCTGGAGACTTGTTCGGTGGCAAGAGAAGTCGCTAGACCATGTCCAAGTACTGCTGTCTTGCTTATCAACCCCTTTCTCGAAATTCTATATTTAGTTGGCGCGACGTATTCCACTGACACTCACTCGGTGTTTCGTCAGAGAATGTGGTGTATAGATTGGAGTTGCCACGAGGCTGGGGCGGGGCGGTTAAGCTTGAAGGCGTGTCCATAGTAAGTTTAGCGCGAGGATCAAAGGTTAGTCGTCGTAGGGACCACGTAGGAGAATAAAACTGTTGGGGTGGGGGTGTAATTTCTGAGTGGAATAGTAGAAGTAAGTACTTGTAGGCTAGAGATATGTGAAGATAGGTGTTGGATCCTAACGCAATGAGTCATGTTGATGCTTTTCATGATAAGGTGGAAGCATGGCCATGCTGAAGTGCTATCTGAAACTTGTGATAACTAGAGCTCTAAATATTACGGAAGAGTAGAAATGTCCTTAATATTTGCCGGCCTCATCGTAACGGCTTCACGGTCTCCTGCACCTAGGCTTAATATTTCAAGACGTTACGTGAAGTCGTCTTGCATAATATTTTATTATTTCTTGCATAATTTCTATTACAATGCTATAAGAGCTCATTCTCTTGCATGTTGTGAGATAATACTACTCTGTTACGTTCTTTCCTCTGGTATCTAGGGTGACCAAACTTGATGAGGGACAAGCATTGTCATGAAAACGAAAGTGGCTCAGTCGTCTTCCAGCAATTGAACTATCTTGATGACTAACCTGTATCCGTACCTACACTAACTAAAGATGTTATCCGCCAATCCTTGCATGAGAAGCTTAGCGAGCGCTTCGATCAAATAGAGAGGATGAGGTACCGTGTTTCATCGCTTAACGCACGGCCCCTCGTAACGCACGGCCCCTCGTAACGCACACACAACCAAAATTCATCAACTTTTCAATCAAGCTTATCTCCACCAATATGGACCCAATTGAGGCCGCGCTGGCGTCATTTGAATTGCTGAAGCTTGGAGAAAAACCTAATTATAGTGCGACAGCGAAAAAATTTGGTTGTTGTCGCTCTACACTATTAAAGCGCCACCGCGGGGTGCAGGGCACCTATGCAGAGAAGCACGAAAATCAACAACTCCTTAACAACGTACAAGAAAAGGAACTCTCTAAATACCTTAACAAGCTTTGCGTAAAAGGACTACTGCCTACAAGGCTTATAATACACAATTTTGCCTTAGAAATAGCTAGGAAACAGGCTAGTAAAAACTAGGTTAATTACTTTATTAAGCAGCAGGACATTAAGCTTATATCTTAATAGACATCTAGCATAAATTCTAATTATAAAAGAGCTAACTTAGCCTTTAAATATAAGCTCTATTTTAAGCTGTTACAGAGAAAAATTAATAATTATAGCATAAAGTTGCGCTATATCTATAATATAGATAAGAAGGGCTTCTTAATTAGTGTACTTGTCAGATTGAAGCACTGTTTCTGGGCTTCCTGAGATGAATGATGGGTTTGGATATGATGTATGGGATGAT